TTACCATTCTTTAAGAGAGTGAAATAAAATAATACTTTTATATGATTAAAAAAAATATACTATGCTTAATCATCAAACTAGTCTTTGAGCTTGACTCAGCTATTGCATATTGCAATTTAATTGCATGCTATAATATGAACTACAAGGAGATGAAAACAAGAACCTTGATGTCACATTCAAATCACCAACAACGTAGATAATGATAGAAGAAGAAAACAAATGACGTTGCTACCTTAGAGAAATTAAAAAAATAATAATAAATAAAAATAATAAACATGAGATGAAAATACCACCAAAGTCTAAGAATTTTCATAGAAAAATAAATAAATAGTACCAACAATTCTACCATAGCCTACAACAAAATTATTACCAAAAACAAAATTAAACTATAGTGCAATATTTGTGTTCATTGAGTATTTAATAAATCAATAATTTAGATCAATAAAATAATTAATATTACATAAATTTTAGATAATTATTTCCTTATTTATAGTGATTATGTTTAATTAGTTAGATGACCTCTAAGATAGGATATATTTTTGATATGGATGGATACGAAATCTAATTAAGGCAAATATTGAAATTATGATGGCTTCTAAGATAGGAAGAGCTTTCAAGCCTTTCTCTTGACACTCTTTGGTATGTTATTATTGGTGTTGTTGTTGTTATTAGGAAGTAGTAGAAAAATGTAAGAATTTTGATGTAAGATTAGAAATACTAGGATGAAGATTTAAAAAGTTAGTTTAAAGCAACTTTATATAATTTTATAATATTATATGACTAATATTAAGATCCTTGATATTGAAGAGAAAAAAATCATATCTTATTAGATCTTATATTTTATGGATAATTTCAAATCAAACTAATAAATAGATCTTATAGATTAGATGATTATATGTATGAATCTATATTAGATCTAAGTAAATGGATCAAATCTAATTGTCTATCAATCTTCAAAAGAATAAAAAAATAATAAAAATAAAAAATAAAAAACTTTAATATAATTTCTAATTTTAATAATATTTTTAGTCCTAAAACTTTGAAACTTAGATCTACAACCATATTTAAGTTATTCACTTAAATGCAATAGAGATCTATATATATAATCAGTTAATTTATAATATCTACCTATTAATTTGATCCAAAATTTTCTATATAACTTAAGAACTAACAGGGTATGATTTTACTTCTTTAATATTAAAGGTTTTAATATTGTTCATAATATTGTAGAACAGTATACATAAACTAGTCTCTTAAGTCCTCTTCTTGTTCTTTTTAGTAATATTTTTAACCTCTTATAACCTTCTACTACTCTTTTATCATATTTATAATACAATTACCAACAATACATATTAATAAAAGAATAGAGAGAGAGAGGATTGAAAGGTCTTACTATCTTCTAAATCCTAATTGCCATCATTTGTCTTAATTGGTTTTTATCCATCTTGATCTTCATCCAACATAATACTATTTAGTGGCTCATCATCTTTATCTATTATAGTCTTCATCTTTCATAATCTTCATCTACTAAGTCCTAATCTTCATCGATCATAATCTTCATCTACTAAGTCCTAATCTTCATCGATCATAATCTTCATTTGACTAATTAAATATAGTTATTACAAATAAGGTAATAACTTCTCAAGATTTATCTAATAACAATGGAATTTATTAGTCTAAACTATTGATATATTAAATATTTAGATAATAATATTTTTTTAGCTTAAATATGCCTTTAAATATTTTAATATTATTTTTTTAGAATTAATTTTTGTATAAGTTATCTACTCCTTAATTCAAAACGAAATTGATCTATACTATTTTAATATCTTCTTGCTTAAACTTAGTATAAATCCTAGAAGCCTTTCACATTGGTTTCATTAATATTATGATAGTATGTTATTATTCTAGATAGAATAGTAAATTTCAAGAAGGAAATTTCTTAGCCTTGAAGTCTTCTATATTATTAGTACCTTCAATCTTCCAATGCCTATTAGATAGTTCATATAATAATCTCTACATAAATATCCCTCACCAAAGTTCAAATTCAAATGTATGTTCTTGCCTTCTCCTACTTCTTGTATATAAACTCTGGTAAAAAATCTATCACAAGCTTTAAGCATGGCTTTGGCCAAGTATAATCATAAAAAGTCCTTAATTTCATATTCTTGGCCTAAGTATCATCCTTGATGTCCCTCCAACTTTGTTAGTATTCTGTAGGCAAAAAAATGAATTAAATCTTTTTTCCTCTCTTTCATTTAATTTTGGTCCTATTAGGCATGTAAAGATAGTTTGTCATGATTTTCTTCTTCTTGTAGATATCTACCATTTTTCTTGATATTTTAATAATTCTAACCCTTCTTTATGCTTGTTTGCTATTGATTAATAATTTTTTCTTTCTATTCTTTGATCTCCCTCTCTTCTTATCTTTTGGTTGAACTTACTCATATCAAATAAGATTTTATAGTGGTCTTAATTCTCTTTTCTCTTCATCCTAGTTTCTTCCTAAAATAACCAATACCTACATCCAAACATACACTTAAAAATTTTTCTCTTCTAATCTCTCTCTTAATTTTTAAATTTTTTACTTTAATTCCTTTATTTCTTATTTTCTTTTTTTTCTTTTTTTTCTTAATTGAATTAGTCTTCCTACCCTAATTACTAGATCCTAGTTTACATTATGCTTTTACTTTCTAAATATCAAAGTTGGTCCATCTAATTATTTATGAATTCTTTCTTACCACTTTCTATCACATTTCAAGCACCAAATCAAGTGTATCTTATCCAAATTTTTCTCATTTAATATTCTTGCTTAATTTTTTTCATTCTCTAATCCTAATTTTCATATCTTCTTTTTTATCCTTTTCTTTAATCTTTAATTTTTTTTTCGACTTTCTCTAAAAATCTTAATTTCTAATCTTTCATATTTTCTTTTCAAAAAACTCAAAATTTTGTTCTATATATGACTCAAGTAACTAGTTGATGTTATCAATTACCTCAAGATGAGTGTAATTTGGCATGCCTTGACCAATATAGAATAAAGAAAGTTGATCTTGAAGTTATTGTTATATTTATTAATTAATGAAATATTGCATAAGAACAACTAAGATCTAGTCTTAAGGTGTACGATGGATCCAATTCTAGTAGAGACAATGATGAACGATATGCATAACGCTATAGTTAAAGGTCATTTTTTACAAGATATTACCACCAAATAGATATTAGACATTAAATATTAGTGGCCTACTCTATACATGGATGTGCTAAAGTATTGACTAAGACAAATACTTATAAAACATATCAATGACAAGAGAACTAACTAAGACAAATACTTGTACATTATATTATTCTTATATTGGATAGCTTACAAGGTGACTACAAATCATACTTCTTTCTAGCTAGTATATAGATTGTATTTCTTGATGCCTAAGAAATATTTAGTTTTGATTAAATGATTAAAAAAAAAATTGATTATATTACTAATTGAGTATTGATGGCCAGATTTTCTAACTTAGAGTAAATTGTCAATATACAAAATGATGACTTAGAAGTTACAGGGACCAAGTATTAGAACATATCCATGTAGAGCCAATAGTACTACAAACAAAAAGATTTCTAAGTCAAGGATTATGTTTTGTGGTATCTAAAGAGTCATAAGAAGCATGTGATTTAGGCCATATCAAGTACAATATCAAAATATGATAAGGTGTAACGTTATATGGTAAAGGATATCAAGACCTTAAAACAAGGTATTTCATAAGTTTAAAGAAAGTTATTTTATATATTTATTAATATAATATTTATTTGATAAAAATATTTTATAAAAAATACATCTATAATAGAATTTTATTCAAATTTTAATGATTGATTTTAGATGTTTTTTTAAGAATTTTAATAAAAAAATTATTTAATTTCTCTTTAGATTTATGTTTAATTTTTCTTTAGATTTCTTAAAAGTAATATAATACTAAAATTTTATGTTGTAAAAATTTAAGAATAAACATTTTATATATGACTAAATTAATAAGATGCCTGCTCTAAGTATTCTTATTAATTAGAATGTTACAAAGACTTAAGGAATTTTCGTAAGTAATTTATTGGATATATCTTTTGGAATTTACTAGTTTAGATGATATGTATTTTTAAATTTAAGATTGATCAAATGTCTCTAATTCTTGGTATGAGTGGTCTTCAATATATAATTTAATAATCTGTAGAAAAATTCTTTTAAGTCTTTAATTTTTTTTAATAAATATCAAAATAAATTAGTAGACATATTTGGCTTTAAAAAAAACAAAAAAAAAGTCATAAGATAGATATGGTTAGTAGAAAATTAGAAATTAGGACCATTTAGAACTATTTTAAAGATTGAAAAATTAAAATTATTTTACTTGATCATTTTATAAATGTTAATAATATAGAAATTAGTGGTGTAGTATTGAGGAAGAAAAAAGAAAAAAGAAAAAATCAATCAATCAATCAATCAATCAATATTAAATTCATAAAAAAATAATAAATTCCAATTAATACTTTTCTTCCAAAAAATAAAGTAAATCATAAAATTTGATTTCAGGCATAATTTTTAACAATGATTAATCAAAGAAATAGATTTTATGTATATTTATCAGGAAATTTTGATTTTGAGTTTTTATTTTTATTTTTAAAGATGATGAATTCTTTATGTATTCATCTAACTTCATTCTTATGCAAAATCCTCCATTAGTAAGCTGCCAAACTAGAAGGCAATACACAACACTACAAAGACGCACGGCAAAGGCTGTGCAGGATTGCCAGTGCGGGAAAGCCTATTTAGCCATACCTGAGATGCCACAGGGCGAGCAACACCCCGATGCATGGCGCCAGTGTGAAAAGGAAAAATGAACTCGGATGCACAGTACCAGTGTGAAAGGGGAAATTCTCAACTTCCATACGTGGTTCCAGTGTGAAACGGGATGTGAAGGGCATTCAGGAGGAAAGGAAACCAAGGAAACGGTTGGTCTTCTTCTTCTTCTGCTACCTCCCCCTCCCTCTCCCCTCTTACTTGCTCCTCCCCCACCATCTTCATCTCTTGCGCCACCCTGCCACTCCTGCTTCTTGCACCTGCTGCTGCTGCCTCGTGCTTCACGCTAACTCATGGAGGAGCATCCAAGGGACGAAGGAAAGGAAGAAGGAGCCAAGGTGGAGGAGGAGGAAGAAGAAGAGGAAGAGGAAGAGACCGAGGAAGAGGAGGGGAAGATGTTGGAGGCTCCAGCCGGGACCCATGTGTGCAACATGCATGACAAGGAGGACGAGGAGGAGGGCGCCGCTCCTGACGCGAGCAACAATATTGGGAAGGAGGTGAAGCTGCTCAAGAATGGTGGTGTTGTGAAAAAGCTCGTTCGACATGGCACGGATCCATCACCCGAGACCCCTCTCTTTGGGGATGAGGTTACAGGTTCGTACTTGCGTGTGTTTGTGTGTCTAGTTTCTTTTTGACAAGTTGTGGGAGTGTTAACGGCTTCAGGTGGAGTTGGGTCTCACGCGTTGGTCCATTCTCTCTCTCTCTGCTAGCGTTTTAGTTTTAGAGAGGTTGATGTGAATTGATGTGAGTGGTTCTTTGGGTTCTTGGTTGCAGTGCATTATACGGGTTCATTGCCGGACGGCACTGTGTTCGATTCAACTCGCGACAAGGAACCTTTCACTTTTAAATTAGGAGTGGGTAAGTGATATTCTTGCTTTGTTTCTTGTAATTGAGATGGACCCTCGCAGGAGATGCAGGTACTGGACAAGCCAGTAGTGTATGTACCAGGCGGGTAAAACTCATCACGCTTCGAAAGATTCGGTGTTTTTGATGCAGGGCAGGTGATTAGAGGATGGGATAAGGGCGTGAAGACGATGAGAAAGGGCGAACAAGCCATATTTACGATTTCACCCGATTATGCGTATGGAAAAGGGGGTCAACCACCCGCGATTCCCCCGGACACAAAACTCACATTCGACATTGAGTTGCTGTCGTGGTGTAGTGTCAAGGATGTGACCAGAGATGGAGGCGTTATGAAGAAAGTCGTTCGTGAAGGAAAATCGTGGGAGAGGCCGAAAGAGGCTGACGAAGTCAAAGGTGAAGTTCTTATTTCCTACAAATATTGCACTTTTTTAGAACCTTGTGATTGTTGTGGACGTTCCCCTTCTTTGTAAATGCTCCTGTAGCCGTTGATTTTCCTTGAAGCGAATTAAATTTACCATCCGATTGTGATTTTTGACTTGCAGAACTTATGCTTGAGTGATTGAGTCCATTGTATGTTTGAGTGTCGTCACCTTGCTGCTTTTGCCATGGAATTCCTTTTCATGATTAATGTCGACTGATATTTATTGCATTATTGCCAGTGAAGTACGAGGCGAAGTTGGTGGATGGTACGGTTGTATCGAAGTCTCCAGAGGAGGGGTTGTATTTTTTTATAAAAGATGGTACGCTTCAGTATTTAGAACCCCTCAGGTAGTCATTGAACTGCGTTTGTGGCCTAATATGATCTTGTGACTCTATTTGACAGTATTCAATTTTTTACTTTCAGGATTGTTTTGCCCTGCTATGGCCCATGCCGTGAAGAGTATGAAGAAGGGGGAGGGGGCTGTTTTGACCATCCAACCCGAATGTAGGAGAATTACTAACCGTTGCTCCTTTGTATGAGTTTTTTTTCTCGTGTTCTCTATAAATCGTGCAACTTCTCTCAAAAATCTATCCGGTAAGAAAGACAACGCGAATAATAGAAACATTATTCTGTGGATGCAGATGGTTTTGGAATAAAAGGTAGGGAAGGTATGGACTCTGAGGGAGCTGTACCTCCAAACGCCACACTTATTATGGACCTTGAGATAATGGGATGGAACTCGGTGGAGAAAGTGTCGGACGATGATAAGGTAGTGAAGAAAATAACAAGGCAAGGAGAGAGCTACGAGAAGCCCAATGATGGAACGACTGCGACTGGTATAAATCTGTCCTTTCTGAGTGCTTGATAAACATTCAGAAAATAATTATCGCATTCTTTTCGAAATTAAGATGATTGTGGAAAGATACTTCTAAAACAATGTTGCTTTGCTTGCAGTCAAGTGGATCGGTACTCTATCAGATGGGACGGTTTTTGAAAAGAAAGGGTTCGATTCGGAAGAGCCCTTCACAGTGGTAATTGATGAAGGTACGGCGCAGTCTATCAAATAACTCTTCGTGGCACACGTGAGTGGTGATGTTCGAGTCTCCTAATTTCTATCTTTATGCGACTGCACTGTACATTTTTTATCTGGTTGGGATGTTTTACAGGTCAAGTTGTTCCTGGTTTGGATGAAACTTTCGCTAGCATGAAGAAGGGGGAGATTTGCATTGCTACAGTTCCTTCCGAATACGGTTACGAGGGAGAAGAGAAACAGTGTGACTTGGCGGTTGTTCCGGCCAACTCCACTCTAACTTACGAAGTTGAGATGGTCAGCTTTGTGAAGGTATTATACATTTCATTCTCTGACGGCTGTTGTAGAATTTCAACCAGGGGTGCTGAGAATTATGAGTTTTGAGAATTCTCCGCATTCCTAGTGGAACATGTCATTGACATTCTTAAGCAGGATGGCCTCTTTCTATTGCCACCTGATTACCTACTTTTCCATCTAGATGGCCCTTGGGCTACAAAATCACCTCCTTAGATTTCGAATTGATTTTCCGGGAATCTAAGATGCACACGCTGTCTACGTGCTGGGATTATGGGCCACTTTAACAGTGTCTTAAGAATGTATGCACAGGAGAAAGATTCTTGGGACTTGGATGGACCCCAGAAGATTGTCATGGCTGCAAAGAAAAAGGACCAGGGCAATGAACTGTTCAAGCAAGGAAAACTGTTACATGCTTCTAAAAAGTATGAAAAGGTAGTCTTAATGTCTCTTGTGGCCCTTGGTTACGTAACAATCAAATGCCCTTCTCCTTATTGATGGAGCAACCACTACTCATGTTGACAACGATGTCTCTGATCTATACGTAGGGAGCGAGATACGTAGAATATGACACGGTTTTTGCCGAAGGAGACGAGAAGAAAAAGGCTTTGAACCTGAAGAAACTTCTGAAGTTGAATGATGCAGCTTGCAAACTCAAAATAGAAAGCTTTCCAGAAGTGGTTGAATTGACTACCAAGGTCTTTGCTGCTGAATTATTCCCTCTTGAATTAGCGCAGTATTCTAACTTCATGGAACTCACTGTTGAAGTCAACTTTCACCAAGAGTGGTGAATTGTTGCAGGTTTTGGAAACAGATTCTATGAATGTGAAAGCTCTGTACAGGAGGGCTCAAGCGTATACGTCAATGATGGACCTTGATTTAGCTGAGCAGGACATCAAAAAGGCGTTGGAAATTGATCCTGAGAACAGGCATGTCGTTGTCTCTTTCTCAATTGCAGTTGAGATTTTTAATTTCATTAACTTCGTCCGAATCAAGTTAGCCTTCTTTCCTCGAAGATTTTCAAAGTCTTCATGGTGGAAGAAGTTCCCACTCTCAAGATATTGTAGATGAAGCACCCCTAGAAATGACAACTTGTTAGGTCAAAAGTTTGTATAGTATATGATTTTAAACGTGGATTTGTGCAATGCAGGGATATGAAGTTGGAGCAGAGGAAGTTGTCCCAAAGACAGGCAGCGCATCGAAGAAAGGAAGCTAAGCAATACGGTAACATGTTCGATCGACTGAGAAAAATGGAAGAAAAAGAGTTAAAGCAAAGTGAAGTAGGTTTGCCTGATCAAATGCAAGAAAATGTGTTACAAGAAAATTCTGCCCAAGAGAATCCAGTACAACCATGTTCTGAAGTTTCGGTACAGGGATAGCACTAAAACGTCTCTCTATATCGCGTGGATTCGATCAAATATGGTAGGCAGAAGAGGACTCATATAGGAAACAACAGGTGAAAATTGCGTAATCACTGACAGTTTTCACATACACAAAGGCGAACAGGGTTAGTAAAGATGCGAACCAGCTCACTTGTCCACTGACGTCATCACAAGCGCGGAAAGTTTATTCACATTCTACCATCCTCAGCAATTATAGTTCTCAATAAGTTTGCCTCGGCAATGTTAATTTGGCTACTGATTCGAGCAGTCAGATGTTCATTTTACTAAAGTGATCTGTTGTGATACTGAAGCCAAGTTTTGCAAAAATCCGACAACATAGCTTTACAAACAGTGCGAATATCTGATATGAATCTAAGACTGCTCGCAAAACTTTCATCATGGAATCTAATAAAGGTAACTTTACAGCGATGCAGATGAGATATAGGAAAGCTTAGAGAGAAGAAATGGGACTGAAGAGTAGACATTGTGACGAACTTAGTCAAAATATGCCCCGAGCGTTTACAAACAGTTTTTTTACAGAAAGAAAAATAGAAAATAGGATACTTCCACAACGCACACTTAGCTTGAAAATTACCGTAGTTGTCAAAACTCGTTGGTGTAATCTCACATGCGATATGCAGAACAGCACACATTTACCATTAAGAACTGAACAAGTTAACATTCATTAAGTGGGTTTTTAAGAGGATAGTGAATCCTTAAAGTCCATGGAAAAGCATAAAAATAGAGTGTATTTTGCCATCGATCTCGAAAAATGATATATATATTCCAGGGTGAACTTCGAGCACCCAGAAAAGACCATTGATAGCACAAATGTAAGCTGGAAGAAGCTTTCAACGTAAGCTAACTTAAGGCTATGACCTCTTTCGTGGCAAACAGGCTCCTCTTCCTCAATGGCTGGAGAGTCATCTGCAGATCCCACAATCCCAGAGCTTCCAATGTCAGTGCGGGTCTCACATTTCTTACCCGCGTCGTAAATCATGAACCATTTTCACGGCCTGCAATGTTCTCACGTGCACCTTCATCATCATCTTTATATCGCACTTCACGAAAGTAGGTTAATTATGTTGCTGGTTGAAGGAATTCTTCTTGAATTTCATCCTGGACACCAAGCTTCCACAACTCTGAACAATCTAACATCGAAGTATATTCTGGTGGATTTCCTTGCGTTATGATAAGAGCAGGCCAAAATTGTGGCTCTCTCCAACACTAACCATTGGCTGTTACGCTTCGCGTTCAACACACTGCTAACTATCTTTGCATACAGTTCCATGCAGCTCTGCTCTTGGCAACGCAGTGCCTCTGCACCTCAATTCCATGTGGAACTTATTAGTGCGCCAACTTCAGATCACTTGTTCAATGATCGACTGAAGCTAACCATGCCCCGAGTGACAAGGTACTTTAATCGCACCGGAGTAACCATGAATATCTTGCGGCAGGGCTTGAAATTCAAAAAAAATACTGTGAAATAGTTAAACGTGCATCCTCAGAACTATGGTTGCACAAAAGAGGTAACAAAGCCAAGAGAATGCCTGGGAGTATGTCCGACAGTATGAATGTTGATTAAAGATAGACGGCATCCTGGTATGAAATTTAACCTCAGTAATTTAACTCATCAACTGATACAAAAAAGAACCGTTAACTCTTATCTAATCTACTGGAATGAGTATGCAAACTTCACTGTATTACACGAAGTGGTGATACACATATATACCTTTCTGAACCGAGAGAGAGGACGGATGAATGATATATTGTGGTAGAGATGAACAGTATAGTTGAACACTTTGTCCACATTACTTTATCATCCAACATCAACCATGACAGCATTTCCGCTGCATCCTACGAGGACCTCATACCTACTTCAAAATATAGCACATTTTGTCTAGATACAGTATAATCTTATGCTCTTCATACGCACAAATTTTTTTTGGAGACTCAATCTGACACCACTCCCGTTACTCGTAACTGTTCGAAACTGCTTGTAATCCTAATTCCAAGTCCACCTTCAAGAATCAGCGTCTAGCATGTTTCCCTTTTTCGATTTTTTCAAGAATCTAAGACAGCGGTGAATCTGTGTCGAGCTGCCTCGCATCCAACCTCCGCTTCCTCTAAAATCTCGAGATTCCTACTCGCCCAAAACAAAGCTATAAATAGAAATCAACGGAGAACTTACGAAGGCAACGACCAAAATTCTCCTCAGCGAACATAAATACGACATACAGTAGCCTTAGCAACCATGAACACCATCAATTTAGCAACCCCCCGCAACACACTTTCCCGCCGCTCATCCATCTCGCCACTACACACAAACTTATCCTTGCTCCTCCTTTGCACCTCAAGTCTGACGCCAAACATTCTTCCAACCGATTATGATCAGTGCCAAGAGTAACTCATCAGTAAACATGAGCGTGAGGAGATTCAAGACCTTTATTTCGTGATGATTCGCCCAAGCTTACTTCGCAGATTGTAAAAATCCAAGTAGAAGACTCGTGGCTGGTCACTGAACCAAGACACTGACGATCTACTAGTCCCTCACGTGATTCCTTGGCATTCCACAGTACGTCGGAATGCTTTCAGACTAATTCACAGGAAACGTGAGAATGCATGTATATCTTTCTCCCAACTGCGAACTAAAACAAAACTCCAGACACGTCCACTATATCGGCAACTAGCTTATGTTACATCTGAGTGAGAAGAAAGGATGAGATAAAAACAAGGACAAGAGGTGGAAAGTAGTCTCAGAACAGGGAAATTTCAGGTTTTCTTTTCCTGTAATTAAACTATTCTGTTTGTCTTTTTTTTTGTTCGAAGTTGAATGTCCACTGCCTGCATTGATCGACACCGTGTGCACAGATCCTTCAATTGGCTACAACCAAATTATGACCTCTTGGTTGAATCCAGTCGTGCTTGCATTTCCTTCAAGCTGTCCTCCACATCAACGTTCTTAGGAAACAACTCCAGAGCCTGTCAATACGCATACGGGAGCTTCTGTGTGAAAAACAATGAAATGGAAAAACCCAAAAAGCCTAATGTAGCAGCTTCAGTTTCAATCAGAACTACATGTCACTAGAAGCTAGTTGATGGAATGATTACAGAATAAAAATCAGCTACAGCTTTCTGGAGGTCTTCAAGCATACAATACGCTGTCCCTCGTCGTGTCAACACTCTGGCCTTAACGCTATTCTTCAAGCTGAGGATGCTGTTGCCTGCGGTTCGCTGCCGTGTCAAGCAAGTGAGCAGGCCAAGTCCTTCCGATGGGTACTCACGGTATCGCTTGACGTACTCAGGACAGGCAGAGCATGCAATGTCCACTTGCATGTCAAAGATAGGATCGTCTGAGTTGAGAAGATGAATGGCTGTGGTGCAGTCATCTATGCACGCCTGCGCTTGATTGAAGTGTAATCTACAAGCTGCACGGTTTGCGTAGCAGCTGTGGGGTCGTCTTGTCAAGAATGCCACGTACTGGGTTTATTTCTAATTGCTTAGCAATTAATTGATATTGAAGAGAGGAGCGACTGAAAACATCAGAGAAAGGATACTAAATCATAGCGGCATCTTTCGAGATAGCATCTGAGTATGCATTTGCGGCACTCTGGTAATCTCCACCTCTGCTCGCAATATTCAGAGTAACCAGATTTAGAAGCAGGGAATGGATCGATCTCAACTAGGCATAGGTTAACCCCAAATGAAGCGAAGAGACGGAGACTAACTTGAAGAAGAAATCGCCCTTGTCTTGGAGAAATATCGGCTCTCTGCCAAGAAGGCGTTAGGGCTAGTCAGAGGAGGGCAAAGAATTCACAGGAAGAGAGGTGACTTCCAGGAATTTGGAAGCATAACAACATATTGGAGCAAATGTTATCCCCACAAACCTCTCAGAGATATCATTTGTATCTGGAGCTCCAGTTTTGGCTCGATCTATCAGCTCCACCTTCACTTCTGGGAGGACACATGAAGGCCAATGTCGTCTCCACGAATGGTTAACAGGTTTGAAGACCAAACATGTCACAGGAATTAAGCATGCTGTTGCTTGAAGGATTCATTACCTCGGCTTTCACGAGCAGGCAGGTGATCTGGCAGAGTTGGCTTGTCGCTGAAATAGATCGGCACGCTAAAAACTTTACGAGGAGCAGGAATGATCTTCTCAAACGATGTAATTGCCTGTCGCTCTTTTAAGACGGACTTGGGCTTCACATTTCGGGAGACAATCCTCCCATTTTCAGTAGCTGCCGCTGTTTTTTGTGAGTCTACTTTCTCGTCTCCATCCCAATCATCTTCATATGGAGGACCAATATTTTCTTTGAGTGGCGCTTCCGATACCCTGTTTTTGCTGTGATTTGCAAAATTCACTTTCTCCTCATTAAAAATTACTGGATCTGTCGACTCCTCTGTGTCTTCAGTTTCAGAATTATTTTTCAGCCAGTCCTTACGTATTTTCTCGTACTCAGTTTTCTCAATCGTATCAACCTCTTCGTCATCTCCAACATCGTTAACATCGTCATACTCCACAGATGTAGGCTCTTGCGGCAACTTAGCTGTTGCCTTAGGAAGTTGTTTCTTCCATTCCGTGAGCTCCATCTAGAAATGGAGAGTCAGCGTTCAGAACTTTTGATGAGACCATGGAAAGGGTGCCCGGCGAACCTGAATAGCATTCAATTACTCCATTTTCCTCCAGGTACGTGATTGAAAGTACTTACATTCTCAAGGTGCATTTCGGCTGTTTTGTGATTTTCAATAGCCTTACGTCGAGCCTTCAAACATCACGTGCCAACACACACAACACCTGGTCTTTAGATCTATCTGTGAAAGACTGGTTACGGGAAACGGTCGAACATGGAAGAGAGAAGTGCACGTAGCAAGAGCTTGGGTAATACCTCATCTAGTTGCATTTGCTTCCCAACTGCAATCCGATTGGTGATAGATTTGTTTTCATGGAACTTTGACTTTACCTGATTGCACACAAACGAATTCACCCAATTCATAGATGTTCATAAATTATGGGAGGAATTCTGGAGTACATAGATCACAATTTTGTGTACTGTGCAGTGGAATCGGAAGACCTCCTTGGATCGCTCTCTTATAGCTTCAAAAGACCGTTCTCGTCGTGCCAAAATTTCCTTCTTGTCTCCGATAGCAGCCAATCTGTTCCATAGCCTTTGGTCCGTCTGCAAGGTATGTGGGAACCCTAATAAATTATTTGATCAACTGATGCCCTGATTGAAGCGTTCGTAGGTTCAAGTAGCAATACGTTGATTGAGTGTTCGAAACAACCTTGATCAGATGAAAGTGGACACCAGTTTTATCCACCACACCGGTACTCTCGTTGGTGTCTATTTCTCCTTCCAGATCAACTTGATACAAGAAAGGATAACTGTTCACCTTCACGAAGCATTCAGTTGCTGTACGAAACGAATACCCACGCAGTGTGACGATCGAGTTAGGGTTTGTAATCATCTGTTGAACGAACATATCATGCAACTCTTGGAACGCTACCTAACTTCATTTCCCTCATAGGTTGAATGCAGGAAAGTATGAGTTCAATTACTTGTAATGTCGGCCGTTGCTGGATTCACAGTGCGAAGCTCGACATCAATCTTCACCCACGCTTCACTCTCCCGCCACTTAAAATCAGGTAATATTGGCATTCTCTCTGGTCTCTTTTCAATCCCTCTCAATCAAAACAATTAATCAGTTGGTATTCAGAATCTACACATCGTTACGATTGAATTGGGTGTTGGCTCCTGTCTGGAGAATTTCGCACGTTGCTTGAGAGTTGTTTGTATGAGATCATTTGTAAAGCATCGCTTAAATGCATGTACCTACGAGTGATTCAGCAAATCACCACCACCAGCCTACATCTTCGACAAAAGAGCGAAATATTTGAGACTCGCTCCCCTATCGTCCGGAGTCCTCCTAAACATTAACTCGATAAACCTGAGAAGTAGGATCCACCTTGAAGGTGAAGTTCCTGTAGACGTTTTCATGCCAATGTGGTGGCCATTCAACAATCTGGTGACACCTTTCGCGCAGTTTCGTATGTTACTGCAGAGGAAATCACAGTTTTGACAAGGTCAATGAAGCTCGTACCAAAGTGACAAATTAATAATGATTCATCAAGTCATCCTTGCGCAGTGGGATGGGGCAATTGTACAACAACCATAAAAACGGATTTTATATGATTTGCTGGTGAACTGGCTAGTAAAGGAAAATCTGACAAGAGCGCAACCATCCAGTGGAGATCCTCGAAAAACCTCACCGCATGTTCACATTGAGCCATTACTCTTCCATGAGCTTTGGTTTCTGCGTTTTCAACTCATGTTACTGCCAGGACAATAACTGATGCGACTTGGACAAATAACGACACATGGAGAGGCAACAAAGCTCGGGTCCAAGTGTCAATTCCTATGCCAAAATCTCAAAAGGCTGGGGCTCGCAAAGTGAGATCAGTGATGAACGACTGCAGATCACACAAAAGCGTTGTGAGCAATAGCCTCAATGCTCTAAAGTAGAGAATCACCATTGGTATAATGAGAACAAAGGCAACGCCATTAGGGGTTGCGATCAATGTCCACTCCGAGCTACGGACGCATATGTATATAGCCTAAAGGGGTAAGAATCAGACCCAGGCTCAAAGCCAACTACTCCACCACCTGCCTTCTTCCACTCCGATATGTGTACCACTACAAAATTACTTTCCAATATCATTGTGACTCCCAAATCATATTTACGGGCATCGAAGTGAATCACTACATCCACAATATACGACTCGATCATCTTCATACCGCTAAAGCTACCCAATGAGAACCAACGTTCTTCTTGAGACCAGATGACATTCTCCAGATCATTGTACATCAAGATGGCTCTTACTTTCGCAGATGAAGCAATCCTTCTGAGATGAGATGAAATGTAGCGCTATTAGGTCGGGGGGAAGAACTTGTGCAGACCAGCAGGGAGTCTGTAGAACTCGTGGTTGCGAGGATCCTGCCTGAAGTGCCGGAACTTGCGAGTCCACAGCATACCCCGGTCCCTCTTCGATACGTGCCGGGTCAGAGTGATGTCCAGCACTGTCCCCACAACGAACGCCACTATCACGGGCGCACCGAAGAATGTATTCAGGATGTCGTTGAACTGCAAAAAACAAACCAGTTTTACATGTTAGACCTCCCACAAACCTCCTCAACCTCATCCAACTGCGATCACATGCCCACCCATCCACACAAAACCACCTACTCACCCATCGAGCATTCGTGTGCACGGGGCCATGTCCAGCTCTCAACTCGAACTCTCTGAAGTACTGCGGCACAGACAGCCCCATAAATAGAGCGAATCCCACCACAAATATATTTCGCGTCATGTTCATGTTCGCGAACTGCAGCTGCGAGATTCCAGTCCCCACTGCACATCCAACATCACCACCCACCACCACCACCACCCCTAATCATAACGCGTACGCTACAACACACAACTTTGTCACCCAACTTGCCCCTAATCTACCTCGCCAACAACGAATCTCCTACAATCCCCAAAAATACACCATCATCATCATCATTATCATCATCACTGAGCCACACATCTGAAGCGCCCTACTCACCGACCATCCCAAGCGTCAGGCACAGAATAGCTGCCACAATTGGCTGAGGAATCGACGCTACAACTGCACCAAACTTCCCTGCATCCCACACACCCATTGCAACCATCTTCAGCACCACGGCCTTGCCTTCGCATCAACCCATGTAACAACGCGCCCACACCCAACACCGACTCCACTCGTGTTACGTACCGAAGATGGAAAAGAAAAGCATGAACACTGCCGCAATCTGCACCACCCTCCTGCTTCCAACTCTCGTCAACCCCACCAGCCCCACGTTCTCCGGTGCCACGGTTGTCCCCGTGAACGTCCCCCAGAACCCGTTCAGCAGCAGTCCAATCCCCTGCCATCCCACTCCCCTGCTGATCACATACGGCGGAGGTGGCGTTGCTCCAGCGAGTCGAGACACCGCGTAGAACCCACCCGTCGACTGCACACAATCCCACATGCACACCACCCAATCACTGCATACATACACACTCACTCACTCATCATCACTGCACACCACCAAACCTTTCACCGCAACACTCACGACTTGCTACGTGGCATCAGGGACCAACCTCCACAAGGGATGCAAATGCGGCCGTCATGATGCCGAAAACATCACCGGCATCAAACGTGGGGGACCCCCACTGAAACGGATACGATATCCTCACCCTGCCACAATTCCACCACCGTCACCCCGTTTCATATGTGCATGTCTCCGGACCGACATCTCCAACTCACACAAACGTGTAGCACCTAGCGTACAAAGCGACAACCCTGCACATGCGTCTTGCGTAACGACGGCTGTGAACATACCAAGGTGCAGCCGACACCAGGCCTGAACGATCAGTCCTGCAGTTCCTTTGGCCGAGTTCACTGGCGTGGTCGTAAGCGCCCGCCACTGTCAGGATCACAGCAAAGATCCAGACGATGATCACACCGAATATGAAAGGAAACAGCTCGATGAAGTGATGGTCGCGGAATCTGACATGTCTTAGGTACTGCATGATCGAATGCAGATTTGAATCAGAAGAGTACACTAAAAATATGTAGTAATCACATAATTATGAAGCGGTCTATGAAGACTCGACTCCAACAACGTTGCAAAATGCTTCAATCTGTGAAAGCAGCAATATATTACCTGAGAGAAGACGAGAAAGATGAGGAGAGCTGGAATGCCGATCTCAACGCACTTCGCAACCTGTTAAGAGATCACCAAGTATTCCTCTTTAGAATGGAGGACAATGAAGGACCAATTCTTTGAGTTTCAGTTGAGTTGAAGAGATAATGTAAATCTGAAGAGTGTCTGAACTTTCCAGGATTGCAAAGAAGCTTTACCCCCGGAAACCCGCGTTCAAAAATTCCCAGTCCAACCAACGTTGTCACAGGTGCAATCACGATGGGACTGATATACCTGCACCGACATGCATGTTAAGGTGAGTGCGGGCAAGGTGAGAAGACACACAGCACAACAGGTCAAGGGGAGCGTTACGGAAAACTTGGTTCATCGAAATAACTCATTTAATACCTCATCGTGATGCCCCACAGACCGCTAAATCCGAGAATGATGTTTAGAAAGCATCCAGCTATGAAAGCCCCTTGCGTTGCTCGCATTCCCCGAAGAAATCTCTGTTATGTCAAAAACTAGTTAGACAAACTCTACGACCTGCTTTTACTCAATTTTGACGGTATGTTAATGAAGTTGCTAGCCCCAATGAATTACAAATGATAATGCAAAACTGAGATTATATGAATGTTGAAAGGAGATGAAAGAGCGTACTTCATGGGGATCCGGGTAATCAATAATTCCCCGTCTGCTAACAATCGACAGGACCATCGGCAAGAAATAGAACGAGTTTCCCATTACCACTGGGAGTCTAGAACCAAAAAATGTCTGCAACAGGGTGTTGATCGCCGACACGAACAGCACAGATTGAATGACCCTAGACAGATCATGCTGCACATCTCCGAACCGTTAGCAAAGCAGACGAGCACATGCACTTCGAATCTTATTTCACAAAATGCGGCACAATCATAGAAGGAAAATCAAATCCATGGCAACTAGGCAAATGTAGAAGACAAGGAAAGGAGAATCATACCGCTTCTCCACCTATCGATCGAATGATTAGGAGTGGAATCAACACCGCCACACCAACATTGACCAGGTAGTGTTGGAAGCCTAGAACAATTGCAGTACCTGGAAGAAGCCAATCTTTTTTTTTTAGAGCTGAAGTGGGTAAATTTGTCAAAATTCGAACACAAATAACTCGGGTTAGCATTCTCCTTATCAGTGGCGCTCTAACATTTGTATGACAAGAGTGACGCGTTAACTTTATCGCAGCTCATATCTAAGGCAATGCTGTGCGATTGATGGCGAGTTTACACTTCGATGATTTGGAAATTAAGAGGGAGGGTGTTCAAAGTGGAACAAGCATGGTTTCGAAATGCTTAAAAACAAGCGGGATTGATACATGCACTACAAGGTAAAACTTCCGACACCGTCCCCAGGCGGTGGCCAACGAGGAAGCAGGCAACATATTAAAAGGAAGAAAGCATGGACATTACAGCTAATTTGCTGCCTACGAGTAGCTTGGATGATCTTAGTGAAGGAAAAACCAGTGCAAACCACCTACGCTCCTTGCGACGCGTAATTGGAACAAGACGAACCACTTCTTCTAATTGAAAAGAGGAAAATATCTGAGGCCACAACTGTTAGAAAGTACAGATTCATTTAGGGTGTACAGCCAACAGGTCCGGAGTTGTGCTCTAGAGAAAGTGTAAGGAATTTGCGAGAACGAGCCCGAGAGATAGCTCTGGTGATTATTGCGAAGCAGGGAAGCTGGACATCGTAGGGGAAAAGACGCGCTTACCCCAACCCGGATTATCGTTGATACAATACGCCAGACCAGGCAGCTGCTCTAATGCATGGTGGTGCAAATCCGACTCCTTGATGGGAGGCGGTCCAGCTACAACTACTGCTGGGGCTGCCATTCTTTCAGCCCTTCTTCCGACGACTGCTCACCGCTAATCCCTGCCCTGGAGATCGTTTACTTCCACACACTCATCGAGCACTGCTCGATATCACCTCCTTCTCAACACCATCACTACCAGCACGCACTGCGTATAGATCGCCTCAATTCGCACACCAACTCGGAGCGTACCACCACTTCCTGATGAAAATCGCACTGCAGGCAATAGACAACCACTTGGCTAACCCCGCGATGCAACAAACGCGTTCATAAAGACTGCCTCGATCCAAGCAACGTCTCCAAGCGGAAGCTTAGCAACAGTCCCACTGTGACGCTAGGCACACCACTGGCCAGAGCTCTCTAATCAATGTCGCTCTTCCCCTAGGCTTAGCCTTCGAAAAGCACACGACAAAGACAATAGAGGGGCTGGACGAGGGACATCAATCAGTGAGTTGGGAGAGAGTGAAGAAAGTGCGGGTGGAGACTGAGTGCGCGAGTGAAGTGTCTGAGGCAAGGGAAAAAGAGGAAAGGCGGCTCTCTGGTGGGCCAGCACGAGACGAGAGACCAAACAATGGTGCGCGCCTCAGCACTTCACAGCGACCCAGTAGAGCGATACTACGGCCGGAAAGGAATCCGTTTTACTGCAAAGGATGCCTGCCTACCTGCCTCTGTCCCTGCCTGCGTCCCTGCCTGCCTGACGAAGGCAATGGCAGTAAACGATCGATTGCAACACGCCAAAAGCAGAGGTAAATTGGGGAAAAGCATAACGTGCTTTTCCAGTTCTACTATGAGATTCTCACTCATTCCTCGTCAGGCACTCTGAACAGGTCCAACCACGAAAAAACTTCACTGGTTTCCACCCATCCAAACAATGCAGCATCCAGCACCAAGTGTCGACGGAGACATTCTAGTGTCTCACCATGCCAGTACGCCACGCCTGATGAGAGTACTGCATCGAAACGGTCTTCCCCGATCCCCCCTCCCCCAAACAAAATCTCAATGAACAGAGCGAATACGCGCTAATCCTTCCACACGGCTGCTGCCTGTCCTCCGCGAGCACAAGCACACAGCATCTCCCCCCATCGACAATCACCATGCTGGGACCAGACATGGGCCAGCTCAGCGGTGGTGAGCCAGTCGTCGGTGCGTGGCTTTCCTGCATGATACAGGAAAAAAGTTGGAATTCATGAAGCCCATCAACGGAACGCAATCTTTCCGTTGATACGCTCCATCGTCTCCACACCGACGCATAACCAACACGTGAATACGCATGCGATCGGCGAAGAACTCATATACAAAAGCCAGCCTCGGCTGCAAGAAAAGAATTGGTTTGCAACCAGCTCCACGTCATATTTCGGCGTTCTTCTTGCAGCACCAGCACCAGCACCAGCACCACCATCCAGCAACAACGTTCTTCTCAGGACTTAGACTGTGAGTTTCTTCCGGCAGTGACGTGTGTCATTGTTGCATCTTTCACACCAGGCATCAATTATGCCTCAACCCATCGGCGTCCAAAGGCTACAAGGTATCCATGTTGACCCACACATCGCCTTCGTAAGTCTCACATTGTTCGTGTGCGAGCCATGGCCCTCCCCGCACTGGGAATTTACACATGCGCGAAATGCGGCGCTGCTACGAAACCCTAAAACTGGCACATTTGGGGGAGACTCGTGGCCCAGATGAATGTTGTTTCGCATGTGGACGTGTCTGTGAACGACTAACTGGGATCGTCCAATTGACCCAATCTTTAGTTGGTCAGTGTAGTATATATGTAAGTAAGTATGTGTGTATATTTGAATATTTATGTATTGACTTTGTACCACATATTGATCATTGTCAATGCAACATTAGTGTATTAAATAAGATGTATTGTGATTGAAGTGATTGTTGTTTATAAATGTGATGTTTCATTAGAATTAAGGATACTATTAATGGTTTTTTAATAATTTAAGTTTAATTTAAGTTGTATTTACAATTTAAGTAGTATTATGTATAGTTGTATTAGTTCTTTACAAGAAAACTAATTAATTCTAAGCATTTTAATATTTTGTATATTGAAATTAAAGTAAGCTTTGTCATTCTTTCTTTCTTTTTATTGTGTTTGTAAATCTTTCATTTTAACCATCAATACAAAATAGACATGATAAAAGTAAAAGTTAGATTGTAGTAGAAGAAAGCTTTCATATTAGTTCGTCTACTAGCATTTTTTTGCAATGATGAGACATCAAGTCTTCAAGGTATGAAAGTGAATCTGATTTCATTGTAATTATATATATATATATATATATAGATTTTTTTCTATCAAATTCATTTACATCTTAATCTAAGTCTATTCATAATATTTTAAACACTACCACATTATTCTTATTATTTCTTTATCTTGTAAAATTGACAATCAATTTTTTCTTTTCATTTTTATTTAATAATAGGAGATTTAAAAAAAAAAAAACAAACAAACAAACAAACAAACAATAGGTGACTAGAATCTTAGTATATGTTAGAATGACAAACAATCACAATCTATTATCATAATATTTTTGTAAAAAAAAATAAATAAATAAATTGCATCTACAATAAGACTCTTAGTTTAAAAGTTCTAATAAGATCTAGGAGCAAAATGACAGAAAAGTTAAAGCAAGTAGTTAAAAAAGAAAAATCAAATTAAATATCTACTTAATAATTTTTAAAAATGCTATTATACAAGAACTAAGGTCATGGCATAATATGTAAGTTTTTATGATATAAAGTAAGTTATATAAACATTTTAAATATCTTCTAAAATCTTAGACTTAGCTACAACAAAAATAAATAAAGTAATAATACATCAAAGATTTTTTCAATATTCAGTAATTAGGAATACATAAAAATATAAGAAAGTATAGGTTTTCTATTGTTAACATCTATAGTCTACAAAACATTCAAAACAACTAAACAAATTATCACTTATGAGATTAAATTTTAATGATTAATATTTTATATTATTAAAATTATGGATGTTGAATGAACTTAGAAGAAAATAGAAGAAATAATTTTCTACTTTTTTAAACTTATTTTTCAACAAATTCTTTAGTAGTATAATGTATTATTATTTATTTTTGAAGAATATTATCAAAGAAAAATTGTAACCATATTAATTTTAATCCATAGTTCTATAGCATTTATTAATAAAAAAAGTATTTATTAGATAATAAATAAGGGAGCTAACATTCATCTATAAAAATATATATTTAGTTAAATTTTAAGATTTTTTATTGTATATTTTTAAATACTATTAACAAACAAATTTGATTCCACAAGAAAAAGGCAATTAGAGGTTTGAACAATGAAAAAACTTCAAGTATTATTAACAATAATATGAAGTGATTTCATTTAGGTAAATTTATTTTTTATATTTAATTTAATTATAATTTAATTTAAAAATATATATTTTTTATTCTATAACCTTATTTTCTTTTAATAGTAATCTAAATAAAATACCAAATATTTGTAATGATCAACATATAAAGAACTTAAAGTTGATAATCCAAATGAAAATATAATTGACTACATAAAGTATTAAATTCTAAAGACTATAATTCTCAATTTTAAACCTAAGTTTTATAAAAATAATTTTAATTATATTTAGATTATAATATTTTATTAGATTTTTTTTATGCTTGTATATTTCATCAATAAAAAATGCTATTTATTAGGAATTTTAATCAAGTAGGAGAGATTGAATTTAAATAGATTTTTTCCAAATAATTAAATAGATTATAGTTTAATTATTTATGATATTTATAGATCATATTATAAATATTTTTTATAATATTATCGTAAATTATTTATAGTATTTGTATATTTTAATATTTATAGTCTAAATAGATCATATTTTAATTAATAGATATTGTAGCAATTTAAATATATTGATTCTATTATCTACTAAAACTAAAGCTTTAAATTTTAGAAACTAATGAAAAGCAATGTGAAATATACCTTAAAACCAAATCTATCTAAAAATAGAAGAAAAAATTCCAACTTATTGCAAATAAGTCTTATAATTTTTTTCTCATTTCTTTTAGATATTAGTGTAAGAATAAATTTTATTTCTCAACTAAAATTATAACATAGCTTATATTATAAGTTACTTGTAATTAGTGGTGTGAAGTAAAGGAAAAAATTAACAAGAACAAAAGAAGGAAAAAATAAGAACAAATACAAAACAAGTAAAATGAATGAAACTAAGCTATAACACACTCAAAACTTGGTCATAATTTTTTCACTAAGTTTTTATCTAATAAAAAGTAAAAAAATATTTTTAAAAATATAATTTTTTAATCTTTTCAATAATATAAGAAACATATCTACTATGAAAAAATAATTTCGAGTTACTATGAAAAAGTTATGAAGGTTTTGAAATAGCAAGTAAACAAATAAAAAATTAAATAAAAATATTTTATTTCAAGGATAACTTGCATATAGATCAAAGATTTGAATATCACCAAGATTCATATGTAGTATATTTGGGTCTCTAAGAGAGGCCACAAGCCTATAGTTTTATCTTCCTAACTACATTTAAGGTGCTATAATCCATATAGAACTTATGCACCTCCTTTCCTACAAAGACTAATCTACAAGGATGTTTGATTTGTTTTTTTTGTGTTTTTTTTCTCATAGCTTGTTTCCATTGTCATGATCTTTATGATGATGATGATGATGATGATGATTTTTTTTTTAAAAGAATACAACTCCAAAATTCAAGATTTTCCCTTTATTCTTTCCTTGTTTGTTTCTTAGAGTTGTATCCATTCATTAATCCATAGATTTTAGTGGATCTAATGGAGAATACAAATTGCAAATTTGATTAGTATGCATAGAAAGAATAAGGTATGCATTGGATCCATTATAATATCCTCACTTGTGTTTACTTCTAAATTTAAAAAAATTAAGAATAAAGATATTAAAACACAATTAAATCACAATGCATTGTGATTCTCTTTTGTACAATAATCCTATTACATCATGATCTTAAATTGTGCTCCAACACTCAATTGCAATTGACTCTTGAAGAAGTTAGCAGCCTAATGTATAACTACCAATCGCCTCTTTATCAAACATTATAGATTGTACTTTAATTTGATGTCTGACTAAGGTGATTTTTTACTTAAGAATTATGAACTCCTTTAGAAGAGTCATGATCGATGTAGATAATATCCACAAGAATTTTAATCCTTAAAATTTGATTTAATTCTAAGCTCCATTGCCTTTAGGTCATCACAAACTTATGCTGTAGTAACATGCCCACTTATCTTTTGCTGACTTTAGAGTTTGGTTTTATTTGCCTCATAAAACCTCATAGAGGGTATTTGAGATTGATATCAAAGAAATAAATATTTATTCTAATAATTATCCAAATAATTAAATAAAAATAGACTAAAATAGATTGATTTCATAATATCTTTTTGAAAAGCTTTCTATAAGCTTCATAGACTTTGCTTTGATTTTATACATATTTAAAATTAATTAGTAAGCTAAAAACTTAATCAACAATTTAATCATGTATCATATGTGTTAATAGCTTGTAGAATAAGTTAATTATATGGCTTATATATAGATAACTGGCCTTACAAGTTAAGACACATGTTTAGCAAAGTCAACACATGTTAGAGGTCCTATAGAATATTTCTATATAATTCCTAATTAAAAAGTATATATACAAGTAAAAGTGAAGCCTTCTTCATTCTTGTCAATGTCTTTTTAGTCTTTAGTTTTGTTTCAAGACTTTTTAGTCTTTTTGTCTCTAGCAATAGCCATTCTAATTTAATATATTACTACCTTTGAGTGATTTCTTGGTCTTTTCAAGTGACATAAGAGTGTATTGAGGATTTCTTTCTTTGAGATTCATATCCTTGATAATTAAACTTCCATTATCCAAATCACCT